GTGACTTTTATAAAGTTTGCATATATTCACTCTTAGTTTACCCAAGTTATGTTTGTTTCTAATGAACAACATAACTCTCAGTCAATTTTATTGTAGGACTATCCAAGGCAAAGATAAAATTCTGTGGTCATAAAACCAACTTTTGTATGGATAAGACTACCCTGTAGGTACACATGTAAGCTATACAGTGTAGGAATACATCATCAAATACATGTACAGTCAGTCAAGCCTTGATTATCCGAACATAGTGGACGGTGACCTACATGCAGTGTTTGAAATTTATCTAAAATTTGTATTTTCTCAAAAAATCTACCCGACCACAGGGCTAGTAACTTTAAATTTTCACCAGCCTGACTGAATAGTTACCCATGCTGGGCGTACAGGCAGGCAGTAATATAATACACATATGATGATATATACCAGGTTACTCATATATGTATTCTTCATGTATGAAAGTTTGCTTGGCTTCTTAATACCAACTTGAGTCAGTAATGTAATTTACACCGTTTTCAGTGATAATTAACTTATAAGGGGCTGACCAGTGGAAACTTGGAGTTAAAAAATAATAATTAAACACTGATCTATAAGGGGCTGGCCATTGAAAACTTGGGGTTATAAAAATAATTAAACACTTAATTATAGGGAGAGGGGGCGGAATTTAGACAATGCTCGTCACCGTGCACAAAATGGAAAAAAATCAAAAACACGGGTGTTGCCTTGGAGATGAACCGCTAAAGCCGGCGGAGCTTTAGCGTTTGTTTAACGGTAGCGAGTGGTAGCGAGCGTTGGTTTAGCGATGATGCGAGCATTGATAGTTGGCTCAGCGGCGTTATAAAGTTGGTTTAGCGGCATATCGCCCGGGCAAAGCTGTGAAGCAGCGGTGGTCCAGTGTTATAAGATTTCTGCATGCATCCACAAACTTGCGTCTAGCAATGCCAAATTTGACTGGGCGTTGTTTGAGTGGTGGTGAACTTTGGCGGAGCTCAAAACTTTCGGAGCAGTAGGAGGGACCATCAGCGGTGGCAGAGCGTATACAGCATTGCCATAACGTGTGCCAACTTCTGTTAAATGGTGGTGAATAGTAACGAGTGGTGATGAAATATTTTCACCACTCCAGGAACGCTCCAACAAAGTTGACCGGGCCTTAAACACTGCACTATAAGGGGCTGACCATTGAAAACATTATTGAAACTGAAGAAATCTACAGGGACAATGCTAACAAATAAAATAAACATAGAAAATCTTGCACACATTTGATAGAGAAAGCCCCCCCCCCCCCCCCATACTCGTTTCTACCTTCTTCCCACTAAAGGTTCTTATGTCAACCCATATACATCTTGGATTGATTCAAAAGAGGCAGTTTGATAATGACTTTTTTTCCATTTTGTATAATTTTTTATCTCAGGACCAGAAACAATTTTTTTTAAACCAAGCCTACTAAATTTTAGCTGAATGTTAAGTAACATTTGGACTGTTCTTGTATATAAATCTATATTATATTAAAACTAAAATTAATGATAATCCTTATCACTCATAATAACTTATAATAAATAATGGAATTATTCCACTCTTGAATGCATAGAGAGTTATGTGAATGGTACTTGACACTCGGAAACCTATTTAGTTTTTAAATGGCTTTTAATACCATGAATAAAATCCGCTGAAGTTGTATTGTTAGACTGATATATATATATATATATAGTGTGTATGATGAATGACCATTAATTTCCATAAATGTCTGGTTATATTGAATAATTATTAGGGACTATAATCACCAACTTTCACTAAATATGTATCAGGCAAAAAGTATGTACACATGTATATACAACAGACAAATCTAGCCTTTTTGCGGAAATAATCTCCCGTATAAGGAAGTGACTTAAAATATTTTTATATTTAATGTTTTCTCACTTTAAGTAAAAAATCTACTCAGAATTCTTCTGAAAATAAAATTCTGTGGCCCAAAACAACATTTGAACAATTATCTATATATTATGTATAAAATGTGTTTCCACAGATTTAGAACACAATGATAAATTATTTTAATTCTAATTTATTCTAAATTCAAATGTCCACATAATAAAATTCAATATATATTTCTTTTATAACAGAAAAATAATATATAGATCAACAAATATAATATATACATGAGGTGCTTTATGCACCAGATGGTAACCATAACAGGAATTATTAACTGGAATAGTGATAAAAAATTAATATAGCCTATGAATCTTACATCAAAAAAAGTATGGAATGTTATATTATTGTTGAATTAATTGTTGTTGAAATTAGCACCATGGAAACGATTAAGTTTTCTAATGTAGTATTTTATAAAAGATCTACTGCTGTACTGCTCATAAAAGTTAACTGTGTTGAGTATTTATTTGGAGGTATGATATTTGGCCAGCAATGTTTGCTCACCAAATCAGAAAAGGAATCCTTATTGTAAACTGTGAGCAAAATTTAAATAAAGGTCTGAAAATTTGAAAACTGAGGGGATTGCAGTTGTAAGCTTGCGACATGTACATGTCATGGCATATATATATATGACAGTTTCTTTACACTTTTTCCTTTCAATAATCATGTATTTCCATGGCAACAACACTCTGATTGGTCATAGTTAGTCTACAAAAACATAGGTTGTAAATAGTTTAATCCAATATCAAAGTTACTGAGCAGATTGACAGTTTTGTGTACATGGATGTAATACAAGCTGTAAAACCATCACTCGATTTGTGAATTACTCGCTTTCCTACTGTGACCACCCTCATATTTCACCCGTTCTCCCTACAGCTGAGTAGTACAGTCCACAGAGCATTCCCCCCAGAATTTAATGGTTTAATCCAATATCAAAGTTACTGAATGCAATTTGACAGTCTTGTGTGCATGTGTGTGAACGTAATACAAGTTGTAAAATCACGTACAGATTTATGGATTATATACTTCCTACTGTGACCAGTCCTGGATTTCTAAGTTGCGATCCATCAACTACTGAAGACATTTAAGGATTACACAAGGTGGCTAATGCAGATTTCAGCAGAATTATCAACCCAGCATTCGTGGATACTATAAGCCTGTGTTTTTGTGCTCTGCCTACTTGTACACTATACCTGGTGTGTTGTCATCTCTTATGACTGAAATCTGATGTTTACTAAGTATGAACTGTGTTCAGTTACCCATAAATCTTCCTGGTGATTACTAAACAAACAGCAAGTTTGTTGTATGATTTGATGACATAGTTGTGCTATTGATTCACAACAATAGGATATTGACTTAGCAGGGGACAGTCACACATGAAGTATTCCTGGCTTGGTCATGTGTCAACATTACGTCAGTATTCACAACATTGCATCCCACTGAGTGCCTGGTATTTTTGTAATAATCAGAAATTATTAATATCATCATTTATATTTCACTGCGTATGATTTTTTGTTCCAAATCTCAGGCAAGCAAGAATAGGTGATTGCAACAACGTCATAATATTAAAAAAAGCCATTTTCTAACTTTAGTAGATAGCATCTCATGATTACCTGTAAATCTCTTCTCACTCCAATCTGTGATGATTTACTGATAAAAACATTGAAATTACCATTTTTATAACTTTTGAATATTTGAGTATTTTACTAACATACATATTTACAAAGGCCAAAATGTTATTCAATTCTGTGGATGAACAGCATCCATTCTTATTCTTGGCTTGTTTGAATGTTTTTCAGAGGTTTATGTTTTTCACTTTAAGTCCATTCGCCTTATAGTGAGCCAATGGAAATTCTGAATCACAAAAGATAAAAGGAGAAATCTTAAATTTGATACTCTGTGTTTAGAATAAAAACATAATTGCTAGCATAGGCATATTTGAATTGATAATGGAATTCTCTATAATTTTATTCTCAATTTTTAGTAAATAACTTCATGTTTAGAATTAAACTATAATACGTAGTAGTGGAGTACTAGGTAGTAGCGAATTGATGTAGAATTCTGTACAATTGTGACTTATCTTAACCAGATTGAAGATTACAAGTACACAAAATATTCTAAAGTAGCAATGTAATGATAGCATCATATGCAGCTGCCAAGTACATTTTTGTATAAATATAATTTCATTTCTCATGGAGTAGCAATAACTAATACTCATAGAAGTGAGAGTCAGTTTGATATTACGCTGAAATTTGGATTAAGATTTGTAAATTGATTTCACTGCTTGTGATTTCATTTTCTAAAAATAGACTTGAATACGGTTAATTAATGATTGTCAGACTTTGAGCCAATCAGACATTATTAAAGAGGGCGTGTACATATGTCGTCTGAGGTGATGTGAATAACACGTTGACTTTTGACACACTATGTTGACATTCTGATACATGCTTCATACGGCGTACAGTGTTAAGATACGAGATGTGTGTTGTACGTGTTCAATTACCTGGATTTATGCCAAGCTTAACGGATACCGCTATAGAATGTTATGAGTTGTATTACGCTACCTGTACGAGGATCAATCGCTGCTCAGATTCATAAGGAAGGTATATAAATCAGAACGCTAAGACTATATAGTCACGGTATACTGCAAAGACCACTGATTGAATTGAAATCGACCATTTACATTGCCAACAGATTTCGTGATATTAAGAGGGCTAAGTTAATATTGACTGACACCTACAGGAAGCAACAAACTGGTAGAGGTTTACTGTTCAGTCATGCGGAAACTGTTCTAAGTTACTCAACGTGGATCTGTCCATGCAGTGGAACCTAATCTGGCAGAGCATTGAGCAGAGTTTATGAAGTTTTGACATTACTAAATCACCAATTAATTCTACTTAACACTGATGACTGTGAATGAGAAATCAAATCAGTGCTGTCATACGTACAATTCCTTCCACATGCATCTGTAATTGGCAATACTGAACTAGTTATCACCTGTACAATCTTGCAAGTACATACATTCATGTAATTTTTGAACAATAGCTGTACTGTTAATAGTCAACAAATTGGATGTGTCAGCAATGGCGTCATTTTACACAGAAGGAAACCATGTAAATTTCAGTGTGAACTTCACATTTATGACTGACAATAAGACTGATGCCGAATATAGCGAAATGTTACCAGTATCTCTAGTAATCTTACAAGTCATCATCGTCTCATTCTTCTGTGGAATTGGAGTATTTGGAAATGCACTAACTTTCCTGGCTGTGGTTAAGTTCCCACATATGCGGAACTCTACCAATATGTTCATTGCAAATCTAGCATTTGCTGGTCTCTTAGTCTGTGCTATTGTCCAGCCAATGTTTTTAGTTAGTATTATACACAAAGAATGGCCATGGGGGGAAGGCTTGTGCATACTGGTTGCCATGGTTACAATCATATTCTTTGAAGTGTGTTTGCTCACACATCTCTGCATTGCTGTGAATCGTTATATTATTGTCAGCAAAAAACGCAGTTTGACGCAACGAATTTTCAAAGTTCGGAACACTATTTTGATTTGTATTGGAGTGTGGATGTTTGCTTTACTACTTGCTCTGCCCCCGTTATTTGGATGGGGTGCATATGATTTCAACAGGAAAACGTTTTTGTGTTTAACTCGGCAACCAGACAGTCTGAGTTATTCTTGGTTTCTCTGCATTATATGTGCTCTTGTACCTGCTGTCATAATTATAATTTGCTACATTCAGATATACCTGCATGTCAGAGCCAGTGGAAGGAGACTTAAACACCAGGGATCGGTGGGAAAACTTGCATTGCAAATGACACCAAGGGCCACTCATGGTGAAATACCAATTGGAAAACTGGAACAAGAATCAAGCGAAACTGTGTTTGTAGAAAACCCAGCATGTGTGAAATCTGCCACGTGCAAACAGGAAAATGTTGGAAATTATTTCCATAAGGGTAGAACACTAAGAGGAAGTAGTGTTAGTTTCCAGGATGAAGTAGTAGGAAATAACATTTCTCGACAAAACTCAAAGTACGGAAATCATTATCAAAATCAGATGATAGAATCTGAGGAGTTAAACCAGTGTAGCGGTAATTTGTCATCTCCGGAGAAATCTTCGTCTGTTATTGATATTGTAATAACTGATCCAAATGGTGATGATGTTTCAGAAAACCAAGTTGAATCTGAAGTCATTCTGTTTTTAGGAATGAAAAATAAATCAGGAAGTATAGAAACACTTGAAGATGTCCAATCTGTGAGTTCAATTATTGCTGACAGTACACCATCTAAGGAAAGTCAATGTAATCTGTCAGCATTGCAACCAATGTTACCACCGTTTAATGACACTGAACTTGTAATAAGCAACCACACTGGAAACAACAATAGGCGAACATCATGTATCAGTAGTGCCAGCAACTCTAGCAGCCGTTGTAAAGAAACAAAAGTTGCTATTAATTTATTTATCATTTTCATAGCATTTTGTTTATGTTGGTTGCCATGGGCAATTTTGTTACTGCTTTTTATATTTGTGGATCCTCCTCGAGCTTACTGGGTCTTGACTGTCTTGTTATATTTTCTGAATCCTTCGATGAATTGTTTATTCTATGCATGTAGGAACCAGAACTTTAAAAAAGCTTTTCATCAAATCCTTTGCTGTAAAAAGAATTTACGCAAAAATTACTCACTAAGAAATTAGTGTTATATCACGTTCCTACTTATTTCACCTATTTTTTGTATTTATTTACCTCCATTTCCATGGTAACTATTATGAGGATGTTACAGTAACTTATAAGACATTTTATGTATTTGCAACAATTTACCATGCAATGTTGCATTGATGTAGACTCCAGAGTTTGAATATATGACGCCATTTTTTTACAAGAATACCTCAAAGTATGCACAAAGACTGTACAGCGGGAGTATCGACCGACACGCAGCGGAGGTCGTATTGTCTGAGTGCATACTTTTGAGATATTCTCGTAATAACCTTATTATTAAAAATCTTTTCCTTCCAAAGATACATCATGGGAATGGCGAAATCAAAAAAGTTTAGAACAGAATCTGCGAACTTCTTTGTGTGGAGTCCAGTCAAACCCTGGTGGCAGCCATGTTTGTTTTTATCATTAGAGAAACCTTATGCGCATAATCATTCCATATTTGGAATTTATTTATGTGGTATGATGAAAATACCCTGTAAAATACCGCAAAATTACGTCACGCTGTAACTTATGGAGTTATGGTGACAGATGTATAATAATCAATTTTTTAAACTCCAAACCCTTGACTATACAGACAGCTATCCTTCCTAAAACCTTGGTTCCAATTTCTTCCAAGAACTGTATATGAAAAAATAATCCACACATGTCTTACGTGATTAAGAATAGTGTTCCTGTGATTAGACTTGCACACTGTTATAGTACATCAATGTCACTGCAATGGGAGAAACAAAACATAAGTCATAACGTTATCATAAATAATAATTTTCATAGCTGTTTTTAACTTAATGCGGTTTAAGAAAAGTGATCATGTGAACGACGATGACAAAAAGCTTGTGAACATAGCAACATCTTGTTCTCTCCTTCAGTTGTTGCTTTACAACTCTTATGGGTTATTATTGCAATGCTTAATTTTCTACAAATCAATTGCATTATATGTGCTTCTATTCTTACACTTTGTGCATCATGAGTGCCAATACTTGACATTTTAGCGCTGTGAGTTGAGTTGAAATGCAAAGGCTATATGTATTCACTCATATTCATAAAAAGAAATGCTTATACACAGTATTTTTGTCAATTAATTATTTACAATTTTTTTTATTTATGATTAAAAAAGATATTTTATATGTATTTTGCTATTATGGCATACATGTATATTAATTATTTATAATTATATCAGTTTTATATATAGATTGATTAAGATTTCATTGACTTTGTGTTATGTATCAGTACACATTTCATGTTAAGCTCAATATTATAAACACTAAGCTTTCTGTACAAACTAAGTCACAATATATCTTACTATCAATATGAATGAATACTTCTTTTCTGTATAATGAGTATTTGACTGACATCCCCCCCAAGTATTGGCCTTTTGCCGGCACCCCTTTAGTATTGATCTTCCCCCCCCCATGTCAATCTTTGGTGCCCCCCTCTCACTATTGACCTTTGATTTACCCCTCAGTATCGACCTTTGATTTACCTCCTCAGTATCGAACTTTGATTTACTCCCGCAGAATCAACCTTTGATTTCCCCCCTCAGTATCGACCTTCGATTTCCCCCCTCAGTATCGACCTTCGATTTCCCCCCTCAGTATCGACCTTCGATTTCCCCCCTCAGTATCGACCTTTGATTTCCCCCCTCAGTATCGACCTTTGATTTACCTCCTCAGTATCGACCTCTGATTGATCCCCACACTATCGACAATATTGCATTACCAGGAACACATAAATGTGAAATAACAAAACAGCAAACAATGCAATTATTTTGTTTCCTGGTGCTGATGACCAGTTCTTGACAACCAGTCACTGAACATTGTGTTCAGAAAAAACATTTTTTTGTCATCAGTGTATTGAACACTTGTATAATGAACACTTATATGTGCTCAGTGAAATAAACACATAATGAACATCAGTGTATTGAACACTTGTATAATGAACACTTATATGTGCTCAGTGAAATAAACACATAATGAACATCAGTGTATTGAACACTTGTATAATGAACACTTATATGTGCTCAGTGAAATAAACACATAATGAACATCAGTGTATTGAACACTTGTATAATGAACACTTATATGTGCTCAGTGAAATAAACACATAATAAACATCTTTTTGTCATCAGTGTATTAAACACTTGTAGTCATCAACAGTATATTGAACGTTGGATTACATCATGGGTATACTGGTGTTTCATCAGCCTTGAATCTGTAGAATGTTCATATTAAATTCAAAACCTTTCCAGTGTAAAAGCATATTAATACAAAGCACTTCATTTGAATATGCATTTAAATGTACTGAGTATGTTGTCTGTGTTTATTAGAGTAGAGTGGTGCATTCATTTTCCGGGTCCTCAAAATTCTACGTTATGCTCCAACTGGCACACTTATTATTTGGTGCACAACAAGCAGGTGGTTTCACACAGGTTTGAACTCCAACCACACATGCATAGTATATCATAATAACAATTGAATGACTCACAGTGTGGAGTTGAATTTGGAGTTGATTCCACACTTGACAGTGTGTTTGCTAGCGGCTCGCACACTATTTACATAGAGTTGGCTCCTCAATCAATGTGGTTCTTTGGATTGTTCATTGTTGTTATGTTATAGTGTGTGTTCACAGTTGGCACAAGTTTGAACTTGGGCACACAAACTGACCATAAAAACAAAAGAATCAAATCATAAAAACAAAAGATTATACGATGAAAACTTTGTATGCATTTTTCTCAATTATAAGACAAACTTTTGGAATCTTTATTATGTATCTGACACCAAAATGTCATACAGATGTGTTTATAAACGTGTTCAGATACAGTCTTTTTTATTTGTAAATTGTACGTAGTACTGCATAGTTCAGACGCTGAAACGCTATCAACACGCGATGGAAATAGAATCCTATTACTGAATGCAGTGGTTCTTCTTCGCCTCTTCAGAATGTTATCACTCATTAAATAATTACTACAATCAGGGACAAGCTTTCCTCAAGCATATCACAAAGTATGCACTGAGGCAGTACAGTAGTGCATTGACCTCTACTATGCAGCGGTCGATATGATCACCGTACTTCATTTGTGTATACTTTCCAATATTCTTGTAATATCCCCATATTGCTGTTAGTATTTGTTCTTTTAGAAGTGAAGAAGAAGAAATATCCAATAGAACATAAGCCAAAAATTGCATGTAATGTACTGTAAAATACTTTATTTTTGCTTGGAATTAATTTTCACTATTTTCACTGAAGGAATGATTCAGTGAAATTAAAATCCAGCGAATATACCTTTTTTCCTATACTTTACATCCAACTTGTCAAAAATCAGTTGTCATACAAAACAAGTCTTTTCAGCAAAAATTAATTCCAGCTAAAATAAAGTACTGTAAAGTACTGTAAATCTGTATTAGAAGCCGAGGCTTCTATTAAAATGTAACGGAGGGAATGCGGCTTCTATTAGAGCATCTACACATATGAGAAATGGTGTTTTTTTTGGTTCTCAATTGTTCAAAAAGAATGGGTGTGGCTTCTATTTGGGATGCGGCTTGTAATACAGATTTTACGGTATTTTACAGTATGCTAGATTACTAAAGCATGACTTATTTTGACCATAGACACACCAATGTCATTTACATAAGCACATGCACTTCTAAAATACGCAATTATGATATTTAGATTTTGGTAAACTTATATTTACGACTCGCTCCACATATAGATTTATTTAATTTTTCGTATTCCCATTGGAATCAACTTATCGTACCTTCTCATAAAACAAACGCTTTTATTACTTATTCCCATACATGTTATTACAAGTTTTAATAGTGTATCAAGCATTAATTCAACATGGTTCACCTGTCAGTGTCTGAAGGTGAAATGAAATCTCTTGACATTTTAATGTGACTATATCAAAATTTACAGTTATTGCATATATAAATTATTTGTCCTGCAATGCTGAATGGGCTAGTCTCACTCTTCCTATGAATAAAAAGAGAATAAATGACATATTAAAGATGTATGTTACTTCCAAATAAAAATGATGTATCGTAAAATCTGTATTAGAAGCCGCATCATTAATAGAATTCACACCCATTCTTTTTGAACAATTGAGAACCAAAAATTCATCATTTCTCATATGTGTAGATGCTCTAATAGAAGCCGCATCCCCTTTGTTGTACCATTTTAATAGAAGCCAAGGTTTCTAATACAGATTTTAGAGTAATTTTTTTATCTTTACATCTTTACTGAAAAGTTGTGAGGTTGAATAGATTTGAATAAAAATATAGGATCACATTACATGTTCAAATGGATGTACAATATCAAGGTCAAGTTCAGATGGTTTTATGGCATATTACTGTAACTTTGTTTTCTTCTCCGTGGCATGAACAGTCACACAATTTGCACTGTGTGGTTTAACAAGGTACTTAGTCATGTCAAGATGTATTAGTTGTTTTTTAATGACAAAATATGTTTTCATTGTGGTCTGTCGAAACTGCTGTTAAAACATCATTCATCATGTATTTATGCAAGAAAATATGGTACAGCAGTAAAGAGTGATTAAAATACTGAAATATAGTGTATTTTAATTGTGAATATCTAAAATGTATTCTTGGTTTCTCTTTTACTGAAAATGATCTTTATTCAAGTAATATTGAAACCCAATATAATCTAAATTTCTTA